CACTCACCCTATTTGAAGAGGAAGGCCATTCTCCTGTCTTTCATGGTAGCGAAGTGGTCAATAACAATGTCATAGAACTTCCCAGCGGCCTTTAGGTCCTCCACAACAACAGAGTCAATGGATATTGTGGCTAGGTTGACAAGTCTGTCCTGTCCACACGTGTTCCTCAGATACGTTTTGATCCTTTTTAGACAGGAAAAGGAGCGCTCTGCTGATGTGCTGGTGGCTGGTATCGTGAGCATGAGCTGGAGCAGCTTGTAGACCTCGGAGAGTGTGCCCTGTAGGTCATCCTCAATAAGAAGCTGTATCAGCTCTCCTGGTGGCTTGTGAAACAACCTGTTGTTGTACAGCGTGTGCAGCTCATTCCTTAACTTCTGCTCATCAAAGAATGGATACGTGTTGATCAGCTGAGCCAGCTCACTGCTGGGAAATGCATCAGGGTTGCAGAACGATGTGAATGATGTGTGTTCCAGTATCCGAAAAAAGTGCAGGTGCTCCATATCTGCAAATCTTTGGGTCATGTGCAACACTATGCCGTCAACAATCTGGAAGTAAAGACGCCGGAAAGACATAACCGTTTCCTCGTCTCCTTCTTGGTGCTGGTTAAACCCTTGCTCCAGGTCGTCCCAGCCGCGGCGACGTCGTTTACGTCGGGGCACAGGATCGCCGACTGCTTTGACCGTGTCATCGTAAATGCGACTGAATGTCTCATCTGTTCTTGTGGCTTTGAGAGCGCTGAGAGTGCTCATGATCCGATCCTGGCATTTTTTTATGTCCGCCGTCTTGCTTTGCAGAACCTGGAAGAGTGGTTCTGTGAGGCCGAAAATGGACTGAAAGACCCCGAGCAGGAAGGTGAAGTCAAAATCCTCAAGTTTTTGCTTCAAGGAAGCACTCTGTGCAATGGTCTCTTTGTCCCATCCCGGCTCTGTCATTATCCTGTCAAAAGCGATACAGAGCGACCCGCGTCCTTCATGGATGGCGTGTACTGCGCGGCTTTTAAAATTCCACCTCACAGCAGAACCCCCTGGTACACTTCAGACAGTAGTGCTGATCTCTTACATGAACGTGAGAAAAAATTGTGGAAGGCATCGAGATTGGCAAAAAACAGTTTGGCTGCTTGGATGTTGTTTGGGCCTTGTGCTAAAACCAAATTTAATTTGTGAGCATAGCAGTGGATGAATAGCGCATTGGGGCAGTGTGCTTTCACTAAAGCCTGAACGCCACCGTGCTGTCCACTCACGCAGCTTGCTCCGTCATAAGTCTGACAAATCAGTTTGTTTGTTGGGCTGTAGTTCCCGATGGCTCTCATGACAACTGATGTTACAGCTTTTGCATCTCTTTCTAAGCTGACATCAAAAAAGCCGAGGAAACGTTCACACACACTGCCTTTTTCATTCACATATCTGATTATGATAGTGAGTTGGCACTTATTGGAGATGTCTGATGTGTCATCCACTTGTACAGCAATGAAAGGAGAAATGTGTATTTCTTTATCAGTCTCATCCTGGATACAACGAGCTATGCTCTCAATTATGTCATTTTGTATGGTGTTTGACATACCACTGAAGACTGTTGACGATCCCAAGTGCTCCGCGAGTGCAGTGTCAAACTCTGCAAATGCACGTACCAGCTCTACAAAATTGCCCCTGTTAGAGCTGCCAGCGGCCTCATTGTGTCCCCTGAATGTTTGCTCTTGACGTGCAAGGTACAGGGCAGCAATGATGAGTTTCCTCAGAATATCCCGGTTCTTTTTACTTGTTCGTTGTGCTTCTTTGTGCTAATGGTTCTTGCTACATCCAGAGCCTCGTCAATCCTGACGCGTCCAAAAAGCTTTAATTTCACAGCACAATCTATATGATTTTTAGATTTACCGTGCCTCTCAATTGCCCGTGACAGGTTGGCAAGGTCGATGAATCCTGAAGTTGCCCAAGGATTGTTCAGGGAGCACGAACCCTTGTCAAAAAGAAGACATGGCCAGCAAAATAGACGCTGAAGTTTAGCGCTTCCAGTTAGCCACTCCGTGCGGACATAATTGTCCTCATTGAACGTCCGATTAGATCCCTTATTCCTCTGTGTACACAGCTCGAGTGTGGGCGTTGTCCTGCCATCTGCTTTAATTTTTAGTTGCTGCTGTAGCGGAAGTTTAGTGAAGTTATGCTTAATTAAGTACGCCAAATCTCCTCCCTCCATAATGCTTCATTTGCTTGATCATTTCTAACGGCGGTGATGACAGTTACAGTATTCAAATTGATGTTGATGTGATTGGATGGCAGTGTCCAATCAAATCGCCAGCCGCCCCTGAAGGGAAGCTAGAGGCGGCTGGCTTCCCCTGGCATGGCCCTGACCAATCACAGGTTGGCAGGGGCATCACGTGGGCCTCATCTGATTGGTTAATCCCTCAATTTTTTTTCACCAAGGGAAGCTAGATTCTGCTGGCCTCCTCTCGCAACAGTGAATGCAATCTACTGTTTCACCATGACATCTAGAGGGGCGCTGTTTCACTCTTTGTAAAATACTCAATGAGAATGGGGGAGAGACGGTCCGGCAGGAACACACAGGAAAGTAGAATTACAGAAACAAAACAAAGTGTTTTTATTTATTTAAGTTATAACTACAATCCGAAAAAACAGGGGAAGCCTGGCTTCCCTTGGCCTCCGGGAGAAAACGCCACTGGTCCCAATGGCCTTATTTCTGCCGGAGGACCGAGGAGCGATAATCGAGGAGCTATAACCGAGGAACCACCAGACCATCCTTCGATGAAATCCTCGTCGACACTCACCCCGCCCCCTTACTGTGTATCGCTCACTGATTGGACGAGGCAGCGCATGCACTGATCTCATGCTTCTTGACATGAGAGCAGTTTCCCAGCGGAGTGAAGAAAATACATGAACCTCACGGGACTCACTCCTCAGTTTATACCGTGTTTTGTTTCAATTAATGTTTCATTTAGTTACAAATATATATATCTGAACAACAAAGTGGTCAAAAATCATTTAATTCATTTATTGGAAACATTTTCATGATCGCTTTTTTCGTTTTACATTTTCATTTATTGTCATTTCCATTCAGTCAGTCATTAAGTGCTATTACAATGTTAATGTGCTACATATCCAAACAAACAAACAAAGTGTGCAATCCAATGAATGTTAATCTAACTGGGTTTTGATAGATAACATACATCTTTTACTTCTCTCAATTATTTTATTTCTATTGTGCACTCTAATCAATATTAATCAAACTAATGTTCGTTTATACATTTTAAGAATGGCGTTTATCTTTTTTGAGAAAGAGTTCTTATTTAATTGTATTTATTTGGGTCTACAACAGATGATACAAATGTTTGTGTCAGTAAATGTGAGCTAACAGAGGCGGGGGTGTTTGTGGAAATAACGGGGACAGAGCTGCTGTCAGACGATCAGCTGTGCAGCGTCATCACAAACGGACGTCGCTTCACGTGACGCTCCGGAGGAAAGGACGATTTCCCTGGCTGCTTCTCAGGTCGATTAAATGGATTCCTTGCGTCGTTTCCCTGCGTTTAGTCCCTCCCACCAGGGAAGCATGGAGGGACGCAAGGAAACCACGAGAAGCAGGGAAATGAGTTTTAAGAGCAATGGGACGTCCTTTCCTCCGGAGCGTCACGTGAAGCGACGTCCGTTTGTGATGACGCTGCACAGCAGTCTGACAGCAGCTCTGTTCCCGTTATTTCCACAAACACCCCCGCCTCTGTTAGTGCACATTTACTGACATAAACATGTGTATCATCTGTTGTAGATCCAAATACATGAAATAAAATAAGAACTCATTTTCAAAAAAGATAAACGCCATTCTTCAAATGTATAAACGAACAATAGTTTGATTAATATTGATTCGAGTGCACAATAGAAATAAAATAATTGAGAGAAGAAAAATAGATATGTTATCTATCAAAACCCAGTTAGATTAACATTCATTGGATTGCACACTTTGTTTGTTTGGATATGTAGCACATTAACATTTTAATTGCACTTAATGACTGACTGAATGGAAATGACAATAAATGAAAATGTGAAACGAAAAAAGCGATCATGAAAATGTTTCCAAAAAATGAATAAAATGATTTTTGACCACTTTGTTGTTCAGATATATCACATATTTGTAACTAAATGATACATGAATTGAAACAAAACACGGTATAAACTGAGGAGTGACTCCCGTGAGGTTCATGTATTTTCTTCACTCTGCTCTCATGTCAAGAAGCATCAGATCAGTGCATGCACTGCCTCGTCCAATCAGTGAGCGATACACAGTAAGGGGGCGGGGTGAGTATCTGAGGATTTCATCGGAGGATGGTCTGGTGGTTCATCGGTTATCGCTCCTCCATGATCGCTCCTCGATCCTCGGTCCTCCGACAGAAATAAGAGCCATGGGACGGTACTCAAGATGGCGCAGGCAAATCAACTTCCGGTGAGACAGAGGACCGAGGAGCGAGGAAATGAAAATAGTCGACCTGAGAAGCAGCCCCTGCTTCTCGTGGTTTCCTTGCGTCCCTCCATGCTTCCCTGGTGGGAGGGACTAGTCACAGGGAAACGACGCAAGTGAGGGACACAAGGAATCCATTTAACCGAAGTGAGAAGGGCCCCAGTCTCCTGACCAACTTCCTCAATGTTCTCCTGAGTCTTCAACAGACTCTTCCTGTTTCTGTATCATTACAAGACATGTTCTGTATATATGAGACCTGAAAAACAGTATAATAGGGGACCTTTAAATAACATTAAAATGTAAACCCTGAGCTTTGAACACTTTAACAGCTCATATGAAATCAACACATTTAAAAAAAAACTAAAAAAACAAACAATGTAATTGAACCCCAAAATAAAAGAACAATCTGCACAAACATCTTCTATTGTTATATTTATTAAATTCAAAGTTGTTTAAATCACAAATAGAACCGGTACTTTAGTAACCAACATACAGTAATTAATATATACTGTATACGTTTACACAGTGAGGCACACACAGAATACATTTAATTAACATTTTATTTGAAAATCAAGTCTAAATACAACTAAAAAACACTAAATATGAAAAGTGGAAGAGAGGGTGATGTAGGAAGGAAGAGGTGAGGGAAATGGAGGAGAGAGTTTGGAGTGAAGGGAGGCGAAGTATTGAGGAAGGAGGTAAAGGATGGAGTCAGGAGAGAGATGGTGAGGGAGCAGGAAGTAGGTACAGTTAAAGGGGGAGGGACTTCAAGTGAGTTTTTTTACATCCATTATACAGATTGTGGGAAAACCTGAGCTCCAGGAGAAAACCCTGAGTATGAAAATGGGAAGGCAGGAGGGGGTGAGGCAGGAGGAAGGAGGTGAGAGAAAGGGAGGAGGGAGAGAGGAGAGGAAAAGACAGCTACTGACGTCCAGCCTCCTCCTTCTCCTCCTTCTCCCCCTTTGCTTTCTTTCTCATCTCCTCTCTTCCATCTTGTGCAGCATTTTCTGCAAAACGACGTCCCTTTCCTCAGTCGCCCTCCTGCGAGCGAAGAATCCTCTGCTCTTATTCTTCCTGTGAAGACACAGGTCCTCCAGAAGTGTCTTCTCTTCCCCCATCTTCTTCTCTTTGGTCTCCCAGCTCAGTCGCGTCTGAGCGAGGTTGTCCCTCTCCTCCTTCGCCTCCTTCAGTTGAGTCTCCATCAGATGAACCGTGGTCTCCCAGCTCTGGTGTTTCTGGCTCAGGTCTTTGGAGCACTTCTCCTTCTGCTCCTTCATCTCCTTCTCAAGCTGATGGACTCTTGTCTCCCAGCTCATGTTGTTCTCATCCTCTGCCTGATGTAACTGAGCCTGAATGTCTTTGAATTCAGTCGCCTGGCTCTGAAGTGTCTGAGCCAGGTCTTCCTTCTCCTGAGTGACCTCTTTTATTTCGGTCTCCATCGAACTGGCCTTGGTCTCCCAGCTCTGGTGTCGTTTGGAGAACTCTTCCTGCTGCACCTCCATGTCCTTCTCAAACTGCTTCACCAGCAAGACATTCAGTGTGACGTCCAACTCCAAGCTGCGGTTCTCCTCAGCCAGCTTCTTCTTGGATTCCTCCACCTGTTTCAATGTCTTCTCCATCTCTCTCCTCTCGCCCTCCAGCTGATGTTTCTCACTCTCCCAGCTCAGCTGTTCCTCGGCCAGGTCTTTGGAGAACTTTTCCTCCTTCTCTCTCATCTGGTCTTTCAGCTGTTTGACATCCGTCTCCCAGCTTGTGTTCTTCTTTGCCAGATCCTCGTTCTCCTTCTCCACCTGTTTTAGTTTGGCCTCCATCGGTTGTTGGTCTTCAGAGTTCTTTTCTCCCTGCTTTTCCAACTGGAGCACCAGCTTCTGGACTTCCTTCTCCAAGCTGTGGATTCTAAAGGTCTGCTGACTGTTGTGCTTCATCACCCCTTTCACTTTGCATTCCATCTTTCGTTTTTCCGTCTCCAAGGTGTGGTTTCTAGCGGCCTGGTAGTTTTTCTCGTCCACTACATACTTCATGCCTTGTTTTCCACTCTCCCAGCTCTGTTGTTTCTCAGCCAGGTCCTTGGTGGACTTCTCCTGGCTCTGAAGGAGTTCTTCCTCTCTTCTTTTCAGCAGGTTTATGGTCACCAGGTTCTCGTCCAGCTGCTGCTTGTGTCGAGCCTCTTTAGCTTCCATCTCCTCCTCCAGAGCGCCGTATCTTTCCTCCAGAGCGCCGTATCTTTCCTCACTGACTGTCAAACACTCAAAGAGTTCATCTCCTCTCATCACGAGCAGTTTGACGGTCTCTGCGTCAAACTGCAGCAGACTTTCATCGTTCTGGCTGTGGGATGTCTCCTTGCTGCTCTGGTCTGACTGTGTTCTATCCATGGCGCTGTCTGTGGACTTGTGTTGTGCGTAGGAATAGAAATCTACGTGTGTACGTAATACGTGTTTTGTCTAGAAAACTGTGAAGTTAGTTTGCTCTGACTGAATACGTGTACCACTCACCGCTCTGAACTGAAGAACTGAAGAATGCCTGCACTTCAGAGCTCTCGCAATCTCAACTTGAAGGCCATCTGTGATGTCATGTGATGAGGTCATCGCGTACTCTCATCTGTGAATATGTCATTCCATTAAGGTCACATGTGATTCCATTAAGGTCACATGTGATTCCATTAAGGTCACATGTCATTCCATTAAGGTCACATGTGATTCCGTTAAGGTCACATGTGATTCCGTTAAGGTCACATGTGATTCCGTTAAGGTCACATGTGATTTCGTAGTCAAATGCAATTAATTTGTCCCACTTTATGACTTTATAGGCAGAATAAATGTTGTGCTTTAAGGTCTTTACAGTTACACAATGCAAACATTTAATTTGTTTTAATTGTTCCTGATGTTGTTTTGAGTCAAAGTCACATGCTTCTTTGTAAGCACACATGTCTTTTCTGTCTTTATTAACATAAAATATATAATTATTTATTATAAGTGCATTATTTGTGTGTTTGTTTCTACTTAGACACACTTAAAAAAATACTGACATTATATACAGATCAGTTGATTTTAATTGATTTTTGCACTATTTCACTAAATATAATCGTGTTTGAAGCATTAAATATAAATCTCACTATGTGTTTTACATCGTTGTGGTACACCAGGCGTCTGAAGGATGATGCTCCAATATTAAAGCTATTTGGTTTGATATATCAAACGTATTGAATTAGTCATATTTAAAATAACAGTTTGTAAATGTTTTGTACATATTGGGTACCAATTATAAATAACTGCTACTGGTTGGTAGAGTGGAAGAAGTACAGGGACTTAGGGGGTAGTACATTTGTTATTAAGAGGTAACTAGAAATAAAACACACCCTTAATACGATTCAAATGACTGGTATAGTTTATATTGAATCATTACAGGGTATAGACAGAGGACAGCAAGCCTTATAGGTCCTTTTGCAATAGAGCGGTGCAGGGATGACGTCTGTTTGTTAGCAAACTTGGATGTTAGCATGTTAGCATCGCAATGGCTCCCTCAAATAAAAGTCAATGGGATTTTTCAAATTGGCTTTTGCACTATTCCAGAAAATCAGATCTGTGGCAAACAAATGTTGATGATACTTACACGTTTTGTCCAGCACTTTAGAAACAGGGCTGAAACAGAGGGGATCATGGGATGCTGCAATGATCTGTTTGGTATTTGGAGCCAAACAGATACCAAATAGTGTGCTGCTGCTGGCAACACCACACACACTCAGAAGTCCTGTCCGCACAGAAACAGCTGTTGCTTCTACACAGCCAAACTGGAAGGGCAACTGTAAACAACGGATCTGCGTTAAAATGTTTCGGACACTCTTGGGGCTCTAAATATTAAACTGTATAGGTTTTATTAACCAACCTGATCATCCATGTGTGATATGATCAGTGTGCTGACACATGCATATCCCAGCAGAAGCAGCAGGCTCACACACAGTCTCTGAGTGTGTGTGAACGCGTTGGGGCAGCTGTACAAAGATATCCAGATGTGGTAATCGGCCAAATAGTCTGATAGCTTGAGACTCAGCGTCTGCAAGGGGGGGAGATATTAATATTTGTATCTGAGTGTATGTGTATGAGGACTATGTACCTCATACAAGCCTATTCCACGAGTGCATTTTACCAGAATCCTCTCCACCCGCCCGTCACTTTGGTTCACAGCCAACCAGCACTGAGCCACAAAGAGCCACGCACGTCCCTTCAGCTGCCCTCTGCATTAAGAAACACGCAGATCCCCAACACTTTACCCGGAGAACGACATATGACTGATCCTGTGTTACCGTTTTATCCCAAAGGCCGTTTGTCCCCCTACCATTTTATCCCAAAGGCCATAAGACTGATGAACCCCTGAGCTCTGTGCCTTCACAACTTCATACCATCTGTTCGCATCTCACATGTTTATCTATTATTACAATAAGCAGTATTTAAATTACAGCATTTCATTTTACATTCTAGTGAACCCTGAAATGTTGAGTACCCCAAAGTGTTATGATAGTAATGTATAGTAGGGGTCCCAAGTACATAGAAACTGCCGGATGCTAACTTGCATATGTTGGGCACTTTGCACAATTAGCATAAATTGAGTTAATTAAGATGAATGGCATTATAGCATATGTAAACAAAAGTAAAACAATGATGTGGCCGATTTGGAGTGGTTTTGGGGCGATTTTCAGGATCAATGATAGCAGTTTTAACCAGAAAGTGGCCATATGTGTACTCTCTCTGAGCTGATTGTGACTACCATGAGTAATGGTGCCACCATTGGATGTACAGAGCACAAGATGGAAATGATTACCTCTACTGTGGGCAATTCTTTTTCAAATAAATAGGCAATCTGTCCAATACAAATACATTTCTAACTTTAGGGTACATTTCCGGGTTAACAACAGGACTCTATACGCTGACAACTAGACTATTTAGCTCATCTTATTATATTTTACTTCTATTTATTGAACTACTCCTGCATTATTTGCAACTTAGTCTATTTTATTTGTATTGTTTTATGCCTTATATCTATTTATATTGCATTGTATAAACTAGTACCACTACATGTTTTTAAAGCTCGGTTGGATGCTACAAAATCAGATGCTGTTGGTACCTGTACTTGTGGTTAAATATGTAAATTGTAATCCCTGTACATTTTGCTGTATGATGTCCTTTTGTTGTTCTGTTGTTTATGTCTTCTTGTGGAACTTACTGCTGCAGGTCTCCCTTGAAAAAGAGATCATTGATCACAATGGGATTTTACCTGATAAATAAAGGTTTTGAATTGAATTGAATTGTTGGTGGAGCCAGGGAATGCCTCCATGAAAAATGAAGAATCCAACAAAAAGTGAAAATTCTTGAATGATTTTTTAAAAAACTCTCACAAAACATGCAGTACAATCCAACTCTCATTTATCCAGTCGTATATATTTCACAAACACGCCTGCAAAAATGTCAGAAGTGTTCATGCAGAACGGTCTAAAATAGTGAGGATAAATTGCAAGTGTTTGTGAAGCAGTTACAGGATAAGTTAAATTGTGCAAGAGTTTGTAAACAGTTTTAGTGTTGTGACATACTGCAGACAGACAGAGAGACAGAGAGACAGACGGACACAGTTTTAGTGTTGTGACATACTGCCGTAATTCACCCACAGGAAATAAGTCGAGAATTTTCTCATTTTTTTCGATTCTACCTTCACCGAGAAAAACTAATTTGTATTTCTGAAATGAAGGAAACAGGGGGTAAAGCAAGGGATATCCAAACTATGGCCCGGGGGCCAAATGCGGCCCGCGGACCGTTTTGAATCGGCCCTCAGCTAATTAAAAAAGTATAAAGAAATATGGCCAACAAATGAAACTTCTGCCTGTCTTGTATTGCACTTCTTAAATATACATGTTCAAATATATAACACAGTATTCGTGTGTAAATAAGAACCATTTTCAAATAAATTCAGTCAATTAAAGTTGAAAAGATTTTCTGACAAATCTAAGTTGATAAGAAAAAAGCCAAATAACAAATGTAAATAACGACCTTGAAATAGACCCTTCATATTTCCTCTTATTAAAAGCAATCTGAAGCTTCTGTTTTAGGGAATGAGCTGCTAACAAAATAAAGTAAACCCTCTGGAGAGCTGTGAGCTGCTGTGTTTCTTAAAGCATTTTCAAGTATCAAGAATAATTTACCTACATTTGATAGATGTGTCCAACTTATAACTGAACCTATGAGGCGATATACCTCTTCTCTCCTCTGAGTGGCCCAGCCCTTCGTATAATCTTCTGTATGTGGCCCTCTGTGAAAAAGCTTTGGACACCCCTGGGGTAAAGGATGTGTGTGGTGATGTCACTCTTTACCTCGGACACGTCCAGGTGTTTGATGCTCCAGCTCGGGGAGGGTCCAGAGTTGTCGTGCCAGATGTGCACCCCCCACACAGGGCCCAGGCTGTCGGCTGCACTGTGGGGTCAGAGACAGACCGCCTTTATACATGAGCAAAACCAGTTCAAAGCAGCTCAATAAGGATGTGAGATTGATGTAAACGCAGCTGTGTATTCACTTTATGTGGAGTTTTGGGATTTCACCTGATGATAAAGGTGTCTTGAGAGTTCCTCCTGAACAGAGTGCATCCTGGGACATGTAGTTCTCTTGTTTGTGAGAAACCATCTTCCCCTATGAGCACCATGTACACCTGTTAAACACATAGAGGTTTCCTTTAATATCGGATGATTTTGGGTAGCTTAGTTTAATACAAGTCGAGGAAAACAAGGTCTAATCACAAAAAAAGAGCGATATAGAAAAATCAGGAATAATACACTTTTTTTAAAGGAACAGAATTCAAGTTGTTTCCCCTTTACTATCAGTAAGATGTCCAGGGACGTTTGGATGTATATCACATTTGTTATCAAAGCCATCTGCTGGATTCTCATGGCCTTGCCAGTGACCTGTTTAACGTAGATATAAAGACGGGAACAGAGTGAGACGTGTCTCACTTCTCTGTCTGAACAGCGATATTTCAGAATGAGGAGAGCTGCAGTTTTTCTGGCGTTGCTGCTCTGTCTGCTCTGGACGGGGCTCAGGGTGAGGATGGAGGGGGGACAGGGAAGAAAGAGGGGGAGTTTGATATCCAAGAAGTGAAAGCAGCCCTCGATCAGAGCAGCAGTCAGACCCAGATGAGCACTGACGTCTGGGCTGAGCTCCAGAGAGCGAATGCAGGTAAGTTACAGAAACATCATAAAAAGGGAAATGTTGTAACTATTAAGATACAAAGACATGTTTTTGTGTAAAATACAAAAGTGTTAAAGAGAGGTGAAAAGAGAAAATCTGATGAACATACTGATAAGATATCACGTGTGGTTGTTTGTCAGATAATGAGCTGCTTTTTGCATTGCAGATCTCCTGGCTCGAGTCACAGCAAGTGAAAATAAGAGCACAGGTAGGAGTACAAAGTAATCAAAGACAACATTGAGAAGATTTGTTGTGTTTTCATAAAAACTGAACATTTTTCCCATATTTAAAAAGCGGCCGAGCAAACATTTGAAAATGAACATGTTAGTATGGTAGAAACATTCTTGAATGTAAAAATTACAAAAACTGAAGACAAATGTTGACCATCATTTATATTTTACAATGTTTAAACTTGTTCAGCTTTAGAGGCCAGGATGAGCTCCAGTGAAAAGCAGGTGGAGGAGCTCCAGAGAGAGAACGCAGGTAAGAAACAGAAACTATTATTAAAAAATAAACATTGAATGTTTTTGTGTATAACGAAAAAGAGAGAAAAGAGAAGTGAAAGATATATTTCACAGAAACAAATTCAACATATTGATGAGATATATGGAGGTAGTTTATCAGCTGTTAACCTGCTCTTCCTCTTTGTTGCAGATCTTCTGGCTCGAGTCACAGCAAGGGAGAAGAAGAGCACAGGTAGGAGTACAAAGTAACCAAAGAAGAATACAAAAAATAAAACACAAAAGTGAGAAAAGAGAAAATCAGATGAACATACTGATAAGATATAACGTGCGGTTTTGATCAGATAATGAGCTGCTTTTTGTATTGCAGATCTCCTGGATAGAGCAACAGCAAATGAGAAGAGGAGCACAGGTAGGATCCCCTCCCCTGCCTCATTACCAAGGCCCGGGACCCCCACTGACCCTCAGCATCGACTCTATGCATTACATTACTCCACACAATGCAAACAATATGTTGTTCCTTTCAATACCGTTAGTCCTGCACAGCGCTCCAAATGTTGCACATTGCACACAAAGATACCTCTTATATCTGCACGGGTTTCCACTTGTCATATTTTTTTTTTATTTATACGGGTATATGTACATTTCATGTCAATATTGCTGTATTTAATGTTATAATATAATATGTTACAAGAAAGATGGAAGAAATGACAAACAAGGTTGTTGTTGTTTTCATAAAAATGTGTGATGTGTAAAAGTGACAAAAACTGAAAATAAATATTGACCATATTTTTTAAACTTTTTCATTTGTTCAGCTCGAGAGGGCAGAATGAGCTCCAGTGAAAAGGAGGTGGAGGAGCTCCAGAGGGAGAACGCAGGTAAGAAACAGATTATGAAGAGTCAAAATGTTTTAAAGAAAGGAACTGGTATCCTGAGGAGAATATTAAATATCAATCTCTGCTGGCTATCAGAATCCAAACCACTGACTTTTTTTGTTTTAATAGACAGTTTGTTAATGAGTTCTCATCGCTCTGTGAGCATCCTCCTCTTTCTCACAGACCGTCCTCAGGTGGCGTTCTCAGCCGGTCTCACTGATTCAGGATCAGTCGGACCCTTCAAGACTGATATCACACTGAAGTTCAGTAAAGTCTTCACCAATATCGGCCAGGCCTACAGCCCAACTACAGGTAGGCCTACTACACACACGTTCTTAATGAAAACATATCTTAGTAATCCTACAATGGATCATGGTAGAAAGTAGAACCAAGTCAAGAGCTCCTACATGCTCCTTATTTAAAAATCCATCCTTAAGTCCTGCTGAAGCACCAGAAACAATCTCCCCTCACTCATCTTCTCCTCTGATGCAGGTATCTTCACAGCCCCCGTCAGAGGAGTCTACTACTTCAGGTTCAACATGTGGGAGAGCCGCAGATCAACTTATACCTCTGTTGTATTATATCACAACAACCAGCGAAAGATGAGGCTTTCAGATTACATTGATGGATCTGGCGTGGTCTCTGCGTCTAACGCGATGCTTCTTCAGCTGGAGAAGGGAGATGTTGTCTACATCGTTCTGCCCTCCAACTACGGCGTTCGGGATGATTCGCATAATCGCATCATTTTCAGTGGATTTCTACTCTTTCCTCAGTGAAGCCCACTGTAAAACACCCACTGCATTACGTTTCAACATTACATATTAATAAAAAAGTGTGTTGACTCTATAAATATAATGTTTGTGTTTGCTTGGTTACATGAACAAGACACATAGATACAGTGCCCTGAAGTAAAATGATTGAAACAAAGAAAAATGTTGACTTTAAATACATATTTTTCTCCAAAACACATGTGCCACAATTATTGGCACCCCTAGAAAATCCTATGATTAAAATCTAACTGAAGTATATTTCCAGTCATATGTTACATTTTTAGGTTCACCTGTTTGATTACACAGCAAATTTGAAATCTTAAAATTCAACACCCATGTAGTTAATTGTAACACTATGAAAGAGTTTATATAGAAACCACGAGCAAGTATTAAATTAACACTTTCCAAAGTGTTGACAATATAACACTATCACAGTGTTACTAACACTAAGAGTGTAAGATGTGAACACCAACACCGGTAAGAACAACACTAACAGTGTTGGCTGCAGCTTCAATTTTACACTGTCCCTAGTGTGGATTATGCGCCGGTGAAGATGGCCTCATTGTCTTTTGGCACAACGACAGACTACAAAGGAGCAGCAGGGGGTGCTCAACCCAGTCTCACATCTAAACGTGTAATAACTACGTTGGTCCACAACTTGGGACATAGTATTTCTACAAAAACACGTTTTTTTCACCATTCATTCCAATGGCTGGCGTCTATGTCACGTGATCTTCAAATTTCTCCCCGCAGAAAAAAACAAACATGGCCGACCTTCGTTTTATTCTCGGTGGAAAATGCCTATTTTAAAGTTAGTTTGGCCATTAAAATGCGTTTTGATGTCATTTGATGCGAGAAATATGAGTTGTTATTTCAGATTATGTGTGCAGTGGATGTACATGATCTTTAGTTTGCTAGTTATTACGAAGATTACTTCAGGAAATTGTGTCTATACAACGTTTTCATTGTTACCAAGGTGGTTGCTAGGGACGCTGCTATCGATATTATTTCTGTTATGTTGTGTAACTGTTTAATGGTGTTTTTTCCCCTGTGCAAATCTCCAACCCAGTCCCACATCTCACATCACATCGTCATAAACAAATACCGGAAACAGACGTAGGCAAGATCCTCAGCTCGGTAATTGGATGGTTTAGCCGCAATGCACGTTGGGAAATGGTGTTTATGCGATGTGAATCCGAAAACATTTAAAAAAAAAAAAATAATACTTTATTCCGAGTGCTCTTGCTTTTCTCTTTGAAAGTCATCACATAACGGCATTGTAATGCTCTGGGTAGCGATGAGCTTTGGAGGGCAGAGTTTGGTGCAGACTGTCGGAGGAGGTCACTCTCAGCGCGGTGACACTCTTCATGGTGAGGAGGAAGAGTGTAATGCCACGCAGAGATCGAATACACTGTGAAACAAAACACAACGTAACACTGAGTCAGTAGAATCCTTTAAATCATTAAAAGCTTCTTAATGTGAGCCCACTAGTTTATTCCCAACATGTCTTTTAGTAAATGTTATTCTTCTTCTTTTAGAAATTACTTTTGCGTGTGTTATTCCAATTTAACTTACACAAATCTTGTAAATGTTTGATTTTATGTCATTCATTCAGTTAAACATTGGTAAATAAATAACTTTTTAGCTTCATGACTCTGCCTTGGTTCACAGTTTTATTTCCACTGTGGTCAGCACCTCTCCCACACTGTAGTGCATTCCTCCTCTCTTCCTGTTCCCTTGTTAGCCATGTAGAGCACTTGATAACTTGGATTATAATGCCTTTCAATAATTACTTTCATTTGACACCATGATCTCTTGGGGATTTCTAAACCTCAAAATCGGGCTTTCATTCAGTATTTACCTTTAAAGTAACATTGTAATTATGTAAAGTGTGATTATCCCCCCTAAAGATGAGGCTCTTTTTTTTTCAAGGGAAGCTCCTTTTTTCAAACTAAAGCAGGAGTAGCAGTGAGCTGTTTTCTCAACATTAAATATTGTTTTTCCGTCTCACTTGTTCCCATGTTGCCAGGAGGCTGACATCCACATGTCCTCTGTAGCTGTGTTTGTGCAGCAGCTCCACAACCTCCAGGACGATAACGGAGCGATAGATGTAATACATATAGTACACTAAATACCCAGTCAGCAAACTGACCTGCAAACAGAGAGAGAGTTATATATATAAAATCACCCTCTTCACTCATCAGTGCATATATGGAAATGCTCCTACATCAAGGAACTGCTCACCCCACAAACCTCCACGAGGAACCTACGTTCAGTAAAGGCAAACCTCCTCATCCCTCCAAGGACAGAACTGAAGACCATGGGAGACCGAGCCTTCTGCTCCGCTGCTCCGAGACTGTGGCCCTCCCAAACCAGCTGAGGACACCACAGACTGTGGAGGCTTTCAAAAAAGGCCTAAAAACGCATCTTTTTAGAATAGCCTTTAACTAGATTTTTTAAATCCCCCACATTATGCCATGCCGGCATGAATGTCACAGCTTTTATTATGTTGTTTTAATTGTTTTAAAATTGTTTTTTATTGTTTTTATTGTTTTGTTTCACCCTTTTTAATTTTTAATTTTGTAGCACTTTGAGTTTTGTTTACGCAAATGAAAAGTGCGCTTATAAATACAAAATATTATTATTTATTATTATTATTATATTTCGACAGCAGTCAAAGCATACACAGGTAGATTATTTGAAAGTTAAGACCATGCTGTGACCTTCCACAGGTATGTTGGTTTAAGAGCTGCAGGTTACTTTGCCATGCAGATAGGTCATTGTGATCTTGTTTGCATTGGTGTGTGGCCAAGTGTGTGTGTGTGTGTGTGTGTGTGTGTGTGTGTGTGTGTGTGTGTGTGTGGTGTGTGTGTGTGTGTGTGTGTGTGTGTGTGTGTGTGTTTCTGTGTGTTTACTGTGTCTTAAAGTTGTGTACAAGCCAAAAAGATATCATAGTCAATCAATCAATCAATGTTTATTTATATAGCCCAATATCACACATGTTACATTTGTCTCAGTGGACTTTACAGTTTGTAGAAAATATCAGTATGACAATACGACACCCTCTGTCCTTTGACCCTCACATCGTACAAGGAAAAACTTCCGGAGAAAACCCACAGTTTAAAGGGAACATGGAGAAACCTCAGGGAGAGCAACAGAGGAGGGATCCCTCTCCCAGGACGGACAGACGTGCAATAGATGCCGTGTGTAAATTGAAAAGATAATACATTTGCAACATAGGTAGTCCAAATGTTTGGAAATGCATGGGTGTATAATAGGAAGATGAATCCACGAGGATATCCATCCTGTGTGTGTGTGTGTGTGTGTGTGTGTGTGTGTGTGTGTGTGTGTGTGTGTGTGTGTGTGTGTGTGTGTGTGTGTGTGTGTCTGTGTGTTTCTGTGTGTTTACTGTGTCTTAAAGTTGTGTGCAAGCCAAAAAGATATCATAGTATGTTGATAGTTATATGTTTGCCTGTGTGTGTTAATGCATATGCAGTAGACTCACTTCCAGCCAGTTGCAGGGAGTCCTCCAGTATCCCATCAGCCCTTGCTCCCCTACAGCGTACACTTGACGACAGAGTTGCAGCAGAGACAGGACGAGGAAGAGGAGCTGGAGGGGAGGAAGAAGCACATGATGAACATTTAAAAAAAGATTCTCCCGAGCTCGACAAGGGTTTCATTCTCACCAGTGGGCGAACGCCAGCCCCGTTTTACTCTTGTTATAGAATGAATTTGGACACCTGGTGAATATTGTACTTTGACTCCACTACATGTATTTAATCCCTTTAGTTACTTCACAGATCTGGATGAATGATGTGAAATCTAATCAAGTGTTAAATCAGACTTTAGTTCCACCTGGAGTAAATCCACCAGCTACCCTGCAGTATACAAAGTCATTCAAACTAGCTGCACCTTTACCAGCTTTGAGAACACTTTCATGATCAATCATTATAAAACATATCATATATATTATTCTGAAATGGACCAATCTGCACAACGACTACTTTTACTGTCGCTACTTTCACTATATTTTGATGAGAATACTTTTCTACTTTTACCTGAGGAACATTTTGAATTAAGGACCTTTAGTGTAACAGAGTATTCCTACACTCGGGTACTTCTACTTTTACTCGAGTACAAGATCAGAGTACTTCTACTTTTACTTAAGCACAAGATCTGAACACTTCTACTTTTACTAAAATCTAAGATCTGAGTACTTCTCCCACCTCTGTTTGTATTTTGGTGTGTGACTTTTTGTCTGTAGATTCTCTCCAGCTGCAGACTAGTGGTTTCCACAGATTAAAAGCTAATGCAGTATTTTACCTGGCACACCATATTCCCCCACAGCAGGAGAGTGACAGCCCCCCACTGACTGGACCCTGGCAGAGGGCAGTAGGCCAGCGGGGGGGCTCTGCTCAGTGTGCAGGGTCACACTGGTGAACAGGTTTGGTGCAGGGCTGAACAAGGTGAAGTGGAGAGAGACCGTATGTCCGTCCAGCCAGCCGTCTGACTGCAGGAGCTTCAGTTTGGACGCAGCAGCAGACCTGCAGAAATACAGGAAGTCTTTCAGCACATTTGGAAATTCCTCATAACTCTCTACAAACACTCAAAATCTTGCCCAGTTTATTCGTCTAATATCTAGTCAGAATATGTCTTTACATCTGATATAAGAAATAATAACTTCAGAAGTGACACCGCAGTGAGATATCGGGTCTTGTTTTGAGACGATGCATCATCTTGTAACTAACATCACCAACTAACATCAGAAAACAGAACACTTTTCAGCATTTGCGGCTTATATTGTAACACAACATTTCCTGATCCTGGTAAAATATAGTTTAAAATAAGTTCTCCCAGCTAATTACACGATCTGATTCATCTAAATATCCCATCTTATTTCAAGAAATCTTACCAAGCAAATGTTCACTTGTTCTATTGGCAGATTGTTGTAGTTATTTCAGGTGAAAACAACTTGTTTTACTTGTTTATGGAGCAGCATTGTTTCCAGTGTCCTCCCCATCATGTGTCTGTTTCTCACTTTGTGTGGCCTAAGCCGACTGAAGCACTCGGACCAAACGTCCCTGGAGGCTGTTATGGAAATCTAAAAACCCCAATACTGTAGAGTACAAGTCAGAAAACAAATAAATGGTGAATCCAACAGAGTTGTCTTTCTGGTGATGTTTATTCGAGGCCTCAAACAAACATCAGATACAATAAAATATAGACACAGGTCTCACAGAGTATAGGATAGTCTGCGCGAGTGTGCGCAGTTTAATATCATAGCAAAGCAATATAAAGGGAGAGTAAAAAGGTGGGGAGGAGAAGAAATCTTCACACGGTCACATTGTTATTAGACACCTGGCCTTGAGCTGTAGAAGTTCTCGTGTGACTTTGTGTGAGTCAACTCAGTAGCCAAAACAGCTCTGTGGCCTTGAAGTAGAGAAGATAGAGGAAAACAGCACATCTAACCAAATGAGAAGCATTTGGTTTAAACATATAAGGAATAGAATAAAAATGTCCACTACATTCTCCCCTTTTGATCATACTTGATCAATAAAAACAAATGACAGGATAGACTGATATAACACATCAATGAATACACTCCATCACTGGTTTAAGTAAACACATCACAAATATATCATAGAAAACTGGCTGTTTTTGTGGAGGACAGACTCCAATATAATGTAAGCATAAGAGGAGAGTACACTCGATTCACATGATTATATTGATTATATTGTAGTGTCGGAATCAGACTCTTCTGATAAGAGCTGGTCTATCTCACTGTGGCGCAAAGGATTGTCTTGTAATGGAATAGCAGTACACTGAACGAAAGCTGAGGATACCATGCTGGAAACGCACTTCTTCAGTATTGGGATAATCAAACAGACATATAATATGACACAGGTCAAGAGCAAATTGGTGCTGCATGAGCATATTCTAGAGGCTATTATGAATGGGGCTTTTTACCTTGTCTCGTAAGTGAGGTTCTCTAGCCGAACGTGTAAGGTATCTATGTTATGGGCATTGTTTACTGTACCCCACCATGGAAACAAGCCACCAAAGAATTTAGCTCCAGTGGACGTCAGCTCTCTTTTTACCTTGTGGTGGTCCGGGTGTTGGAACTCTGGGTAATGATGTGTCGTGTACATTAAGGACGTGAGGACCGTGACTGCTGGATTCAAATCCACTAGAGTGCATGTACCTATCCAGAGGGGAGCCAGAACTTGATAGAGCTTGTCGCCGCACAACCAAACGTAATCTTGTGGCGAGCTAAACCCAGCATCACTGGGCCAGGCCAGTTGGAGGGAAATATGGTTAACATCAGGGAATGCTACGTTAGAAAGGATTCTTCCAGGGACACTGAATATGCAATACGAGATATTGTAAACACTGTAACTGCACTGTGCTATCTTCCCCATCCCTTAGAGTAATGTTACCAATCCCTGTCTTGATCAGCCCCTCTGCCCATGTGGTTCGCCCTACTCTCCCCATGTACCTCTTAGATACCTCAATTTCGGCTGACATGCTGTGTGCTGACCATGGATACATAAAATATAGGACTAGTCTTAACACAACTATCATGGCAAGTATGCAGAGGAACCATTTTATGATTGTCCAGGCTCTCCGGTTGTATTGCTCACGGTTGCGTCGTCGTTTTCCCAGGCGAGCCGTCATCACGAGGTGGGAATGCTCCATGGGGTGTGTGTGTGTATTCCTTCGGTCGATTTTGTGACACGGACAGTCAGACTCCGCACACCGGTAACACAAACGAGGAACCAGAGAGCATATGGAACCGCTCAGCTGGCACTCGCTCGTGACACCTTGTGTGTAGTGTGTTTTGGTGTATGTAGTGCAAGTGTGGTGCAAGTTGGTGATTAGGACACATCACTTGTTGTCATCTACTTCTGTTGGTGATTAGGACACATCACTTGTTGTCATCTACTTTTGTTGGTGACTAGGACACATCACTTGTTGTCATCTACTTTTGTTGGTGACTAGGACACATCACTTGTTGTCATCTACTTTTGTTTCCCCTTTCCTGTGACTACGACCTTGCAGTGGCTGGCGTGGACCCACGTAGCTCTCTCTCGGCGACCTTGACCGCTGTCTGGGTGACCAGACGCAGGTAGGGGCCAACGATTGGATTTCCAGCTCTTTCTCCGGAAATCCTTGACCAGCACGAAGTCGCCGGGTTGGAGATGGTTAAGAGGACCAGTGGCAGTCGCTAAAGTGAATGACAGGTTAACATACAACATAGCAACATAGCATCCTCACACAAAGTTGTGGAGGGAAGAGGACATCCTGGAGCCTTGAGTCCAATCTGTGGAGGAGCCCCAAAAAGGATTTCAAATGGCTGAGTTGGCTCCGTGTTCGTTCCCACATCCGCATGTACATCAGCTCAATGGGCAGAGCTTGTGTCCATAACAGACCTGTCTCTGCACAGCATTTTGCTAGTTTGTTTTTGATTGTGCCGTTCCCTCTTTAGCAAAATGTGAACCGTTGTTCTAATTTAAGATGTTCTCTGATGGGCTAAACTCAATGAAATCCAGCATTAGGTGCTCAAATGAATTTTGCTTAATGCAAATTGCCCCCCTTCACCCCCCTTCAGAACCACTCCTGATTTATAGCCTCTAACATCCCCCCTTTTTACACATTGTCCAACCCATGTGTCAAAAACAGCCCCAACAGCCTTCCACCGAGCCTTCTCAACTGGTGTAGCTAGCTGCTGAAGTGACGACATGTTGTCAGTGAAGGAGGAGACAGGGATTCTAACAAATGAGTGTAAGGTGCGTGAGGTGCGAGAGGAATCAGACTCTTCCTTTGCGGCTGAATCAGCAGATAAATTAGCGGACCCAATTTCTTAGGGAAACTGGGTCTGTACTGCTTGCAGAAATTGTCTACACTTCCAAATAGCCACAAAATCGTGCACTACCCCAAAAGCATAGCGTGAGTCAGTGTAAATAGTCACGGTTTTGCCTTCTGCAAATGTGCAGGCTTCAGTTAGTGCGATGAGCTCTGCTGCTTGTGCTGAGACATGGGATTGATCCGGAACGGAGTACAGCAGAATCTGAAACAATAGAAAAACACCCCACCCGATTAGTGCCCCCTTGGTCGCGAGAGGCAGACCCATCAACATACAAAATGAGGTCAGCCTTGGTCAGAGGAACGTCTTTTAAGTCCGGTCTAGGTGTGCACACAGTCGTGTTCGTCACCTTCAGGCAAAGGTCAATAAGAGGGTTCTTACACCTTTTCCAAAATCAAATTCAAGCACTTTTCAAGTATCTTACAGCTGTTGTAAATTACATATTTATATGCACATACTCAAATGAGTATTTCCCTACCTCACATTAACTCAGATGTTCTTTATGCTATAAACAACCACATGTGTGTTTCATGATAGCATTCTACACGAGGATGAAAAATTGAAGAAAAGAAAACTAAGTTTAATATTAATATCAAAATGAGTGATCTGTACATCTAAAAACCCAATTCAAGCGACCTTTCACCTCCACTTAATTAAATGCACTGGTTGCAAGATAAAAAATGTGAGTTAATTGATTTTAGATAAACAGTTTAAGTTGCAACTTAATTGTGTCATTTGAACTCTGATTTCTGCATTAATTGACTTCACCCTAAATTCAAGTTGAGGTATTGTAATGCAATTGGCTTGATAACTTAATTGTTCTACCCCTTGAGTTAAGGATTTCAAGTCCACTCCCACTTAAGATGCCTGGACAAGTTCCCACAGTTAAGACAAATAGAAATATACAAAGGACATTTTAAGGTGAGCGTCATCTTTTGTCATTCAAATACAACTTGAAATTCAAACTCTCCTGATTGAAACATCATGTGTTGAAATAAACAACTGCAGTTCAAAAATAAAAAGTGAATTGCCTAATATTTTTGTTGTGGAATCAATTAATGTCTTTCTTTAAAGGCAAAAACATGAATAAGCTAAAAGGAAAACCCTATTGAATACAATATTATTTGGAGCAACTTAATTTACAAATGGCTGTCAACTTAAAAACATCTGTCCATGTTCAACATGTGGTAATTAAGTATACACAATTTAAGATTACATTTAAATCATACGGTAAAACAAGCTGGAACGTTTGGAGTAATCAACTTAAAAACTTGTGTTTATGCTACCAATTATTAAGTAAGTGGTAATTGAAAACACCTCTGATTGTAGAGGAAACGCCTTTTCCCCTAACTCAAATAACTTTGTTGCTCTAACAAAATGTCATTAGAAGTTGTCTTAACTCAATAACCATCGATGCAACCTATTGCCTTGATTCTCTTTGTTAAGCCAAGCATTTGTTTTTAGAGTGTACGTAGACTGGGCCTCCCATATAACCTGGCTGAGCTGATATAAAAACAATCAGCCAAATAACTTCTCAAAACATCATTGATTACTATTTTTAAAAAAAATACTTTTAGGTTGGCAGTAAACATAAGTCAGAGGTACCTGGTGTACTTTTCCTTCACTTAATTATTTAATACCTTTAGTTACTTCACAGATCTGGATGAACGATGTGAAATATAATCAAGTGTTAAATCAGATTTTAGTTCCACCTGGAGTAAATCCACCAGCTACCCTGCAGTATACAAAGTCATTCAACCTAGCTGCACCTTTACCAGCTTTGAGAACACTTTCATGATCAATCATTATCAAACATATCATATATATTATTCTGAAATGGACCAATCTGCACAATGAATACTTTTACTGTCGCTACTTTCACTATATTTTGATAAGAATACTTTTCTACTTTTACTTGAGGAACATTTTGAATGCAGGACTTTTACTGTACCACTCTGGTACTTCTACTTTTATTCAAGTACAATATTTGAGTACTTTAGTCTGAATTTCTAGCTACAAAATCACGCAGCGCTGCATACAAAATAACCTCACAATGGTAACAAGTGGAAAATAATATTTACAAATGTGTACAATGATTTGTAGGTAATTTTGACTACTCAAAACACCTGACTTATACAAAGGAAGACTGTGTTCATTCTACAATTACATGGGATTAAAGTAACATGTAGTTTTACTTGTATAATATTTCCATTT